TGGGACAGGCAGCCAGGAAGGACACCCTCCTCCTCTGACCCTCAGGACTGAGCTACTTGGGCCATCTTAGCTCCCCGCACCCTGGGTCCCCCTCCACCCCTCCACTGCCAGATTGAGCGGCTGGCAGGCTGCCGACCTGGGCGCCCACTCAGACAGAGCTTGAGTGAGTGACTGGAGCATCTTCTGCTGTTGGAGCAGGGAGAGGCTTTCGAGGGCAGTGTTGGCACACCACTCTTGTCCTTTCGCACATAGAAGTGGCCACATTAAAAACGAAAGAGACAGGTGAAGTTGGTTCTGGTAGATCTTATTTAGCCAAATAGATTTAGAATGTTATCTCGACACGTTGTAAAAACCATTAGTGAGGTATTTAACATTCTTTTCCCACTAAGTTTTGGAAATTGGGTGTGAATTTCGCACCTGCAGAAGCTGTGGCTGAGAGAGGGCGGGGCTTCAGCTCCTCTGGGTCCCAGGTGAGGAAACTGAGACCTGGAGGGTTTCCTGACTGCTTGGCAGAGGTCGCTCAGCAAAGCAGCGCTAGAGCCCAGGCCCTCCCCAGGTCGCGGAGGAGCAGAGCAGACCCCAGGCCTGGACAGTGTGGATCCTCATCCTCGGGGGTGGTGTGCTCCCTGGCAGCCACCCAAGGCGTCCACTCTAGTATGCCCATGGTTTGCTAAGACCCCTCCCCTTGAGACTTGGGGACACATTGGGGTGTGAGCCTCAAGCCTCTGTCAGCATGTCCAGCCCACTGGTGTGGACAAAAGTGGCCCCACGCTCGCTTTCAGGCCCATGAAGCCTGGACATGGGGATGCTGTGGGCACACACCCCCAGCACGTCCATCCTGAGTGCCGGCACGTGAGTGTGTGGGGCCAGGGTATGGGCAATGGGATCTGTCAGTTGTGGACTCCTTGCCAATCTGATGACTGCTGTGGGCCCTTTCCCAGGAAAATGGGACCCCGGGGCTCGTGGGTCCCTAACACCTGCCAGAGAGGCGCCAACTTACTTCCTGAGGACGTTCCCACAACAAGTCCTTGTAGAGGTGACTGGCCGGCTCTTCCGCCTCCTGGCCCATGGGCTGGATGGTGCTGTTGCTGGCTGCTCAGCCCAGCCTCAACTCTCTCCAGAGCTCTCGTGTTTAACTGAGATTTTAAGGGCCCTCCAATCCGCTGAACCACTGCCATGGCCCTGCCACGCCGTGACCCAGCAGCTTGAGGCCTCCCTCGCTGACCCCAGACTGGCCTTCCTGTTCTTGGCCTGGGTGCCGGGCCCATCAGACCAGGGAGTGGGGCGCAGGCCTGGTCAGCGGGGTCCAGGGACGCCACCAGCCACAGCCAGCAGGTCCCCAGTGCCTGAATGCAAGTAAGGGGCATCAGATTCTTGCTGTCCCCTTCCTGTACATAAGAGCTAATAGGGCTCCCCCGTCACCTCCTTGTAGTAGTAGTTACCAGCAGCTAAGGGCCACAGATCACGCTCGCATTCACAACCTGCAGGGACACAAAGGGGCAGTGTTAGGTTTTTGAGAAACGTGAGACAGCCACAGCAGCCGTATCAGATGAGGTAAAGCAAACCGCTCGCGTTGTTCTGGAACGCCCCTCCCCCCTCTGAGTCACTGGCTGGCTTTGGAGAGAAGAGGAGACATATGTTCCGATCACTTTTGTCTCCCCGGATTACAGGGCTGTTCAGCCCAGGGTGACTAAGTGGGAGCATTCCGTGGGTCTTAAATGCTGTCAGCGGGGGGTTTCTATAGCGCCGTCACCATAGCACCCACTCAGCAAGGAGCAGGCAGAGGCGGCAGAGGGCAGGACACGAGGAGCAGCACTGGCCATGGTGGGACAGGCTCGGGGCCATTTCCAGCAGCCTGTTGCTAAGTCATCAGAGGTGTAGGGCCAGGCCATTTTCTGTCCTTTGCGCTCTTCCAGAGAATCCAAACACTCCTCCACACTTGGGCCTGGGTCTGTGGGGGTGAGACAGTGTCCTCTCCCCGTCCCTTTGGGGTGAAGCTCATCACTTGGCCTAGATTTCCAGGATCTGCATGGTGAAGTTGTGGTTTCTCTCACAAGGAGTTGGCGTCCGGGAAAATGAGGTCAGGAAAGCCGGCTGTTCCTCGACAGAAGCGGCAGCCACGTGTGCTGGCGGGCTGGGGCTCTGCCCTGGCCAGAGCGCTTGGCGCTGGGCTCGGACAGCTGAACATCCAGGGCCCCTAGTGGAAGGCGTCAGCTCTTCCCCAGTCCCCTCGGCCCCAACCTGGGCTGGCCACTTCTCAGGGGCTGTGTCTCTCCTACCTGCTCCCCAGGTCGCGTGATCCCTGGGGAGCCGCTCACTGGCCCCATAGCCCCTGCCTGATTGGCACTCTCCACCCCACCCCTGGATCCCCCCCGGATGCCTGTGCTGCTCCTGGCCCTTCACAGGGCTCCTTTGAATAAATGGAAATCTTAAAAATACAACACCACTCCCTCTCCTCCCAGACCCTGCTAATGAGGCCAGCGGCCTGCACCGCACTTACGTCCAGGGATGTGAAAGATGTTACCGCAGCCTAAAAACCCAGAAACCGTTCGCAGGACAGATAGCTGGGCCCGCTCCGGGCCGGGTTTGGAAGGAGCTATTCTCACTAGCGTTCTCAGGGCAAGCGGACCCAGGGGCCCCGTGTCCCGGTTTACGCTGCTGTCCTGGGGTGACCGTTCACAGTGGCACCTTTCCTTCTGCAAAGTCTACATTTAGGTGATAACTGGTGTGGAGGCCATCGCTCTGGGCAGCCCTTCCCCACCCTCCCTGACCTTCTTGCACAAGGCTGCCAGCCGCCCGGGCTTGGGGTCTCTGCATGCCTGGCTCCCTTGTGCCCACGTACCCTTTCAGGCCTGGCGCCTGCTGGAGTTGGGATGCTGGAGCAGCCCCCGGGGAGGGCAGGAGGTGGTGACACAAGGAGTGGGGTGGATTAGGGGTTTTCCTAGAGGATTAAACCCAGGTCTTCTCCTTCTGGAACCTTGCAGAGACTTCTCTAGAGATGGCCCCTTTAGCGGGCTGCGGGGCACCAAGCTGAGCCTCTGTGTGCCCCTGTGCATGAGGACAGGGAGATGTCCCTGTCTCAGGCTGGTTGAAGCCTGCAAGGTCGCGGCGAATGTCCATGACGGTCCCCTGTAGGGACAGGACGGCCAGGGAGCAGCCGTGGGACCTCTAAGCAGCTTCAGTCGAGTGCTGAGGGTTGTTTTGGGGGGGATGCGCTGGGGGTGTGCATCTGTGGTCCCCTACTCGTGCACATGCCCCCTCTGTCTCTGAGTAAGCTCTGCCCCTTCCAGGCTTTTCTATCCAGAGGATGTTCCTGGCCCCCAGGCCTGTGTGTTTTCCTGTCCTCATGTTTGCCTTGTGGGGCTTCTAGGTGGGAGTGTGGGGTGTGAGCAGTCCCCTTGGCAGGTGCCCTCCTCCACAGCCAAGGCCAGGTGGCAGCTGAAGAGTCCTCCCCCCACTGTAGGGCCTTTCCCACTGTGCCCTCCACAGGCCCCCAGGGGCACCCTGAATCTGCAGGCTGGAGGAGCCGCAGTGCAAGGGAAGTTCTGCGGGAACAGGGGCAGCAGGCACTGGTAGGCGCATGTTTCATAACCAGAGGAAAAGTACTCGGAGCTGCTCAGGCTGCCAAGGAGGAGGATGAAGCAGAGGAGGAGGAGGAGGCGGTGGCAGCGGTAGGGAGCGGAGCTGCCCCGGAGAGCCCCTCCCCTGTGCTCAGACTCTTCTTCTGGCCTGGCCCCACTTCCTGCCCAGGCGCCATCCTGTGTCCCCTTCAGCACACCCCCATAACGGGGCCCTGCGGCAGCTTGAGAGAGCCAAGGCGTCTTCCTTGAGGCTGTAGCGTTGCTTTGGGGGTGGGGTAGCTATTCTGAGGCCCATTTAAGCTGCCCTCGCCTGTGGGGAGACGCTGGAGTTCGGTGTGGGAAGGTCTACGGGGCAGGAGGAGAAGGCGCCCCAGTGCTGGTGGCAGGGCTGGTGCACGGGTGCCAGCACTGGGGACGAGCCCACACCCGGCAGGCTGGTCCTCGCCCCTCCAGCTGAGCGCTGCTGTGAGGGGAGGTGGCAGGAACAGCCTGCTCTGCACTCCCCCTCCTGTCGCCCACCCCACTGAGTCAGAGCTGGCGGGGGAGGCCGCCCCCACACGTGCCTGGGCCTGCCCCTGCTGGAGGATGGGGCTGCTCCAGAGCAGAGCCGATGCTGCAGAAGCTGCTCTGGGACGGCGATCTCGGCCACTGGAGGTCTGCGCTCCTTGTGAATGGTCTCCTCCGGGCCTGGGGCGGGCAGGGAGGAGAGGCGAGGCTGGAAGGGCCTTCCTGCGCCTGAGAAGCAGTGCCGTGCTGAAGCAGCCGGACCCTGCAGGCCCCACACACAGGCACACCAAGAGGGGGCTCTGGTGGGTGTCTGCCCAGGGGCTTTGCAGACGCCAATGGTGTGCGTCTAGAGTGCTCCTGCCTCCCCATGATGGTGGCCCACAGTCTTGCTGGCGCTTTATTACCTGAAGGTTCTAACTTGCAAAATCAGAGAGCGTTACAGCGTGCCCCAGTGTCACGCGGTGTCTCCTGTGTCTGTGTTCTCTAACCACCCCCACAGGATTTGGGTGTGAATTAGTCACTCTTGAACACACACGTGTGGTTGAGCTTTCCCAGTCCACTGTCAGAGTGGTTCTAGATGGTTGGAATCAGGATCCACAGGCGATGCCACTCTGGCAGACACTGCCACCAGGTCTTGCTGTGTAACCTGCCAGCATGGTCCCCGAATGTGCAGCTGCCAAGATGCGGAGAGGGCAGGGGGTTGGGGGACGCATTCCCCCAGGGGCAACAGGCACAGTGAGGCATGGGGCTGCCCCGTCACTTCTGCCTGCACCCCATTGACCAAAGTGAGTCATGCGGCCAAGCCCCACACCAGTGGGCTGGCCAAGAGATGTACTCCGTCTCCAGTGCGGCGGCCAAACTAGACCTGATCATATGTTGTCCTGTCTCCCCATCCTCTCTTCCACCCCTCAGTACATCGATGCCATCAGCAACAAACAGGGTGAGCTGGAGAACTACGTGTCAGACGGCTACAAGACGGCCCTCACCGAGGAGCGGAGGAGGTTCTGCTTCCTGGTGGAGAAGCAGTGCGCCGTGGCCAAGAACTCCGCAGCCTACCATTCCAAGGTGAGGCGGGCCAAGCCCGTGAGCTGTGACAAAAGCAATACTGTGCTAAATGTCCCTGTGTGTTTTGGATTTCCCCAGGGGTGGAGTCTAGAAGGAGAATTAGCAGGTCAAAGGCTGCAGGTGTTTTTAAGAGTCCTGTTGGAAATTGCTGCGTGCATTTTTGAGAACAGTTACACTGACAGCTCTGAGAGGGTCTCCTCTAAGGAGGAGTGCAGTGCCGGGAGACCCCTCGTAGAGGCTGGGTTAGCCCCAGGGTCAATGAGACCCAAGGCCACAGGCTCCCGTGCAGGGACAGGGAGTGTCTGTGGGGCCTCCATTCCCCATAGTCCACAGGAGCTGGGGTGGGATCAGACCTGTCCACTGGAACATTCCAGAACGTTTGACAGTCTAGAAGTTGTGATTTGGCAGCCGAGCCGACCAGGCAGGCCCTAGTTCATGTCCTTTTTCCCTAAAGGGGTTCTGTGGACTCACGCTTGATCTGAGACTCAGTGTCTGGTCCCCACGCCTTGGGCAACCAAGGATACGGTTGCCCTCCCTCTGTGGAGAGGCTCCTGCCTGCCCGGGCCTGTTGGGGGCCTTTTGTTGCAGGTGCAGAACAAGCACTGTGACGGGACCTGCATCCCCTTTGGGATTGGGGGTGGGGCCACCCCACCCCACTGGCTATGCCGTTGCCATCCAGGTCCTGTGCTGGGAGGGCTCGCTGGCGGCCCGGGTGTGGGAACGGGCCAACCTGCACCTGCACACCATGCTGGCTGCAAGCTGCAGTATTCGGAGCAGGGGCGGCCGCCCCGCCCACGCGGCTCTGGGCCGTGCTGCGGCAGTTGTCTGCGCCCTCTGGCGGTGGCCAGGCCCTGTGGCCGGTCTGGGAGAGCTGGGGCCCATTGGTGCCGCAGGCAGAAAGCCATCGACCTCCAGGACACTGCCATTTCTGTCTCTGAAGGGAGCCTAGTGTTGCAGGTGGGAGTGATGACAGCTGACTTTCCAAGAAGCTGAACCCAGCCCCCCAGGGTGGGTTTAGAGAGGCACAAGCCCCAGGCTGGGCACCATGGCACAAAGGGCAGGACCCCGCCCCCGCCCCCCACCACCACCTGTTCCTAAACGCAGGCCCTAGGGCATTTTCCTGCTGTGTAGGCTCAGGCCGCACAGCAACAGGGGCCACACCCTGACCCTGGGGTTATCCCTGATGGCGCCGGGTCCCTGCTGGCCTGCTTTCTCACCACCACCCCATGCCCGTCAATCATTTATCTCAACCAGGAGCCAGATGGTAAATACTTTGGGTTTTTGCCATTGCGTGCATAAGCGGCCAGAGATGTGTAAATTAACAGACATGGCCGTGTTTCCCTCAAACCTTATTTACAAAATGGGCCGCCAGCCCTTGGGCTGTGGTTTGCTGATCCCTAGTCTAAACCATCAGCAGAAGAGGGGCTGTAGCCTGCTCAGAGGGCAGTTTGTCTGGCATCTTCCACTTTCCCCATGCAGGCACCGTTCCCCACCCAGACATGGGTCCTAGAAGTAGGAAGATAAGTGGGGAGAGGCAGTGAGGGCTGACAGCCCCTGTGGAGGTCCTGGAGACCGGGGTTGCCCCAAGCTGGGGGCTGCTTCACCCAGAGGGGCCCGGGGTCTGCAGTAGGACACGGATTGTGCACCTGCTGCAGGTCAAGTAGCCCACTTTGGCCAAACAGCCAGGAGCGGGTAGGGCACAGCTGCCCCCAGGCCCTGGGTGTGCCCACGCTGCGGGCACAGGACCTTGAGTGAGTTGCAGGGAACCTCAGGCTGATTCCTCAGTTCTGACTGCTTCCTCCATCCCAGGACTCTCCGCCAAGCCTGTGGCTTCTCCTCCTTTGTGAGACCCCTGTGTTCATCTGGCCGGCTCTGTCCCAGGCAGGCCCTGGTGCACACCAGAGGGACAGCTGGGCTTTCGCGCCCCTGGGTGGGGGGCAGGAGCAGTTAGCGTCCTGTCTGCCGGGTGCCAACAGGGCCCTCCCTCCCTGTGTCTTCAGCAAGCTGGTCTGACCTCACCTGGGCCCCTGGGGTGGCTCTCTCCCTTGCCCATGGTCCCCTCCTTGTCCCTCCAAGGTTTCTTGGTCCTCAGGTCTGCTGGCACAGCACTCTTCCTAGTATATTGTGGTTCACCCACGAAGGGTCTGCCCATTCCATGGCTAACATGAGTCTCTGTTCATTTCTCCTTCCATGGGCCCCTGGGGAGGCCCCTGCCCGGGTCGGGCCTTGGTTTGATCTCATTCCTGGTGGTCCCTCGACTGCATGGTTTGCAGCCACATTCTAGCCACTTTCCCTGTGGGGGGGTCAGAGACTCACAGGTGGCCTGTCTGGCTGTGAGGCACCAGCTGGTGGAGAGCAGCTCTCAGCTCCAGCTAGACGCTCCTGAGGCAGGGGGTGTGTCTCTAGGAGCCTTGGTGCCACTTAGGGTCTGGGCTGCATCAGTGCTGTCAGCAGCAGGCCCTGGCCTCTCCTGGCCCTGCAACAGGTCCCCTGGGATGTGCCTGGCTGCGGGAGCCTGCATTCAGCCCTGACTCCCACCCTGTTCTGCTTCCTCCACTTCAGGGCAAGGAGCTGCTTGCCCAGAAGCTGCCGCTGTGGCAGCAGGCGTGTGCCGATCCCAACAAGATTCCAGACCGCGCCGTGCAGCTCATGCAGCAGATGGCCAACAGCAACGGCTCCATCCTCCCCAGCACTCTGTCAGCCTCCAAGTCCAACCTGGTCATCTCAGACCCCATTCCAGGGGCCAAGCCCCTGCCGGTGCCCCCCGAGCTGGCCCCATTTGTAGGGGTGAGTCCTTGGCCTCCTGAAAGCTTTATGGGTGAGGGAGGATGGCCCCTGGTTGTCATTCTGTGGTAGCCAGGGCGCTCCTGCCGGGGTGAGGGGCTCTCCACGCTGGCTTTGCCCGGGCCAGGCCCCTCCTGCAACGCCGCGCCCTTGCCGCCTCTTCTCGACAGCGGCTGTCTGCCCAGGAGAATGCACCCGTCATGAACGGTGTCTCGGGCCCGGACAGCGAGGACTACAGCCCCTGGGCCGACCGAAAGGCCGCCCAGCCCAAGTCCTCATCTCCTCCGCAGTCTCAGAACAAGCTGAGCGACTCCTACTCCAACACGCTCCCCGTGCGCAAGAGCGTGGCCCCGAAAAACAGCTACGCCACCAGTAAGGGCTCCGCTGGGGGCTGGGCTGGGGCCCCAGACCTGCTCTCTTGAGCCCACAGTAGTGATGCCATGCCTGGGGGGAGGTCGGGGGGACCCACCAGCATGTGTGCGCATGTTGTGTACAGCACCCCTTTGAGGTTTCCATCCTTGGAACTTTGGACCCTTGGGTTTTGCGCAGCTCCCCCATTGTCTAGTAAGCGGTGGATTGTCAGCAGCCAGTGACAGGAGCAGATGGATGAGGCTCAAGAGGGCTTTAGTTGACCATGGGATAGCTCCCCACTCCCCATCCAGCTCCCTGGGCTCTGCCTCTCCATGTGCCATGGACAGCACCCTCACTCCCTCCCCTACGCCCCCCAGGGCTCTCAGCCCATGAGGGTGTCCTGATGAGTAGATGGGAAAGCTGTAGCTCAGACCCAGAGAATTGCCCCCAGCTGATGGGTGGCAGGTCTGTGGCTGGATCCATATCCCCAGTACCCAGGTTCTTCCAGAGTCTGAGTCCAAACAGCCCTGGAGGCCTGGTAAGAATCCACCAGGATGGATAGTCCCCCTCTGCCTGCCCAGGGCCTCCTAGCATCTCACCATCAGGCTGCTGAGCTGATGGGTGGGTGGCTGCACCCTTTCCCTCCCCACTTGGGGCAGAGCATCCCCTCACACCTGCCCTGTCGTCCCGACAGCTGAGAACAAGACTCTGCCCCGCTCGAGCTCCATGGCAGCCGGCCTGGAACGCAACGGCCGCATGCGGGTGAAGGCCATCTTCTCCCACGCAGCTGGGGACAACAGCACCCTGCTGAGCTTCAAGGAGGGCGACCTCATCACCCTGCTGGTGCCTGAGGCCCGCGACGGCTGGCACTACGGCGAGAGCGAGAAGACCAAGATGTGAGTGCCACGGCCAGTGCCCATCCCTGCGATGGCCATTTGGGGGCCACAGGGGCGAGGCGGCCTGTCCTGCCCTTTATCAAGCTTGGGGACATCATCCTCCTGACCCTGCGGCCCTCGGATGTCCTGGCAGCTCTGGGTCCTTTCTCCCACTGATCATCGAGGTCGTACTGTAGAAAAAAACGGGCATTACAGACACGTGTGGCGAGGGCTGTTTGCACACCGCAGCAGGCTTCACCACGCAGTCCCTGCCGTTTGTCTGGGGCCCTGTGTGTGTGCACTGCGGCACATCTAGCACCTTCCCTCCTGTCGGGTGTGTGGCTTCCCTGTTGGTAGAGGCCAGCCTTCAACCCCAAAGCCCTTCTGCCGCCCCCACGTCTCCTCCACATGTCTGATCAGCCCTCGTATTTGGGTTCTAGAAGTCACATCGTTGAGTCAGACGAGCTGTACCTCCATGGTTTAATTTAACACCTATTGCCGAGAGGCTGTGTCAGCATCTCTCTTGCTCGACCTAGGGGCCGCCCAGGTCAGGAACCTTGCCCCTTCCCACTGCCGCCATTGTTGTCTGGGTGTGTCTGTTGGTGAGAAGGGAGACCCCCACCCCGGAGCAGAGCCAGCCCTGACACTCTGGCCTGCCTCAATCAGGGAGGGAGCTGCTGTACTGAGCTCCACTCTGGCCTCCAGGCAGTTGCTGCCCTGAGAAGGGTGCTCTGAGGGACAGGGACACTGGTGGGCCACCTCTGTTCCTGAGCACTGCCACACCCGCCTCCCTCTAGACAGCTCCTCTGCTGTTGGCACCATGGCTCAGCGTGGCCATCTGGGGCTGAGGGCCTGCCCAGCCAGGTCACGTGGCAGGAAACCATCCCTGCCTGTCGAAGCGTCAGGAGCTCTGCCTGGGGTCCCCACATGTTCCCCCATCCTCACGCTGGAGGCCGCCGGAGCTCCCATCAAGGGAGGGGCAGCTCAGAGCTGGATGTACACCCGGGTCGCTGGCTGGCATGTCCTGGTCTTCCTCCACAGATGCGTGCAGCCAGGCCAGGGAACTAGTGGGACTGGGGGCCCTGCCCTGGGCCCTGGGGGCCCTGGCGCACTCTCACCTGGGTCTTCTCTTTCAGGCGGGGCTGGTTTCCCTTCTCCTACACCCGGGTCCTGGACAGCGACGGCAGTGACCGGCTGCACATGAGGTGAGTGCACTGGCCCGCCAGGTAGCAGTGAGAATGGGGCCCTGTGGACAGGCACCTATCAGAGCAGCCCAGGCCCTCAGCATGGAGAGCCCGGCTGGGCTTCTGGTCCTTTCTCCACCCCTACAGTGCCACCCACCCCGGCCCAGTGGGCTGCATGTCAAGGCCGTTGGGGTGCGTGAGTGTGGTGGTGCTTTGTGAGGAGGGCGTCTGAGAGCCCGTTCACTGGCCCATCGTGGTGGAGGTTCTCTTTGCCCCACAGTAGGCCCAGGCTCACACCCCAGCTGCTGTCTCCAGCGGGAAGGGTATGTGGAAGACTCCTGGCCCTTGGAAGAGCTAGAGAGTCCCTTATGGAGCCACGGAGGTGGGGGCTGAGTTGCTTTCAGAGGATCGGGGTCGCCGTAGGACTCAGCTCCACATGGGCTTCGGCAGTTTCCTCGTGGCACACCTTCTCATTCGATTCTGAGCAGGGAGGGAGGCCCGTGGGGTCAGCGTGGCTGCAGCCTAGTCCACTAAGAGCAGCCAGCTGTCATGCCCTCTGTGAGGAGCTGAGCAAGGTGTGGGGAAGGTAAGGGGCTGGGTGGGGGCTGGGGGCCTGGTGACTCGGTCCCTGAGCCCTGGTCCCCACAGCCTACAGCCAGGGAAGAGCAGCAGCACAGGCAACCTCCTGGACAAGGAGGACCTGGCTATCCCACCCCCTGACTACGGCACGGCCTCCCGCGCCTTCCCCGCCCAGACGGCTGGTACCTTCAAGCAGAGACCCTACAGCGTGGCTGTGCCTGCCTTCTCCCAGGTGAGCACAGGGCAGGGGCCTGGGCTGGAAGGGGCTGTTGCTGGGTGGGCTCGGCCACAGACCCACGTTGGCACCTCCATAGGACATGCCTGGGGAAGGCTCGGGGATTTGGGCGTTGAGTCTATACACCTGCTGTGCCTACCTTAAAGGTCACTGCTGGGCACCCTCTGCAGACCTCAGGGCTCTAGAGGAAGCACGGCGGCCCCTCTGCCTGCCCTTCCCTTGGGCTGGGGCATTGCTGGCCTTGAAACCAAACCTGGACATCAGGGAGGACTCAGTATCCAGAGCCCCTCCCTGAGAACTCTGGGGGTCCCTGCAATCCTGGGTCCCAGTGCAGACATGAGTGTCTGCACTCAGGCCTGGGACGTGGCTGGAACTTTCTAGTTAGCATGTTTCTGGGACCCTCAGGAGGCAGGGCCAGGCATACCTGTCAGGCTGTCCAGTACGACGTGGCCAGGGGCAGAAGCTCAAGGCTTGGATCCTGGGTGTGGGTCCCTGGCGGAGTCTCTGGCGTGCGTGGTGGCCTTGAGGTCCAGGCAGGACCGGGGTGTAAGTGTGGACAGTGCTTACTGGGTCCCGCATGGCTCTGCCCTGGGAGGCTCGCGGGGTGGGAGGGAGACAAGGCTTCAAGGACGTTCGTCTGCTGTGGCTGCATGGCAGGCAGGAGCCAGCAGCTTTCCTCCAGGGGCCAGTCTCCAGGGCTGGGTCCTGGCTTTGGGGTCGGGGGCTCCCCAGGCAGGAAGGAGAGAGAGAAAAGAGGCTTCAGCAGCCTGGGTGACCACCACGGGGTTGACCCGACGGCTGAGGGCTTCCATGTTGACAGCATGACCTGAGGCTGTGGAAGTGACATTTTAGGTGGGCGAAGTCCAGGGGAAGGACCTGGGTACTGGAGGCCAGCTCACCCTGTCCAGCACTAAACAGCGTTGCCCACCTTGTGCAGACGGCCTTGTTGGCACAAGCTTTCTGAGGTGCCACAGAAGGATCTGTCTGCAAGGAGCTTATGGTTTAGGCAGCGTAAACATGTGGTTTGAGACAAGTGGCAAGGGTGGCAAACCTGGAGTGGTGTGACGGGGCGCTTGGATGGGACCTTCTGGAGGAGGTGAGGTGGAACTGGTGCTCAGGGAGGCAGCAGGGAGAGGCTGATCCAGCCATGGGGAAGCGTGGCACCTTGGGGTCACAGGGCCAGCCCACCCGGCCTCATGGCATAGCTGGCCACACCTGGAGGGGTCTGCCTACTGCTCGCTGCTCTCATTTCCCAGTCTGTGGGTTTGGTTTTGGTGCTGAGAAAGTTGAGGAGGGCGTCCCCAGTACCCCTCAATGGCCCTGGGGCCAGGCCAGGCCATCAGACATGGGGCAGCTCTCCACAGCACAGCCCGCAGCTCCTCGCCCCAAGGGTTCCCCTCCTGGGCAGCGGCACCGTCCCTAGGGTGGGAAGCTACTGCTGCATTCTGGTGGCTCAGGGGATGCTCGGCCCAGGGACCAGCCCAGGCTTGGATGAGGTGGGCCTGCAGGTGACTGTGCACTGCCAGTGACCTTTGCCAGCTTGGCTTCTCTACCTGGCCACCCGTCCATCGCCACCTCCCTGCAAATGTCACTGTTTCAGGCCCTGGGATCCTGGGGATCCCCACCATGTGCCCTGAGTCTGCCAGATAGCCCCAATCTCCCCCACCGGGTGCTCCTACCATGCGACCTGCAGGCACTTTTCCGCCCACCTGCTGGTGGGGAAGGGGGCCAAGTTGATCTCTCTTGCGTGTGTCTGTGTGAGCTCACACATTCACAGTCAGCAGCTGGCCACGTGGGGAGGCATCCCCCTGATTTTGGGAGGTCACCACTGGGGAGGATCCTCCATGCCCTCGGCTGCAGGCAGCACCGAACACACTGGGGTCAGGAGGGGCACCTGCCCAGCCTGCTCCTGCCCTACAGACCTCCATCACCCCCAGGACCCCCGGCCTGACCTGTTCCTGCCTTTCCTCCCCAGGGTCTGGATGACTACGGGGCACGGGCTGTGAGCAGGTAAGGGGCTCTCAGACTTGTCCTTGGAAGCTGGGGGGTAGGGTGTTATGGCCAGGTGGGGAGCAGTCCCATTGGAGGCTAGTGGGCTGGGCCGCTCTGCCGGGTTCTCTGAGGCCTGCTCCATGGGGCCTGGCTGGAGCCCGCGGCATCCGCTCCGGGCCAGGCAAGTAGGGTCTAGGGGCCCTGTTCTCTGTCTCTTGCCCCACAGCCCCCCAACCTTCTCTGAAGGACGGGGGTTCTGAGAGCTGGCTACCCTGTCCTGAGGCAGTGTTGCAGGGTCCTGGGCTATCGCCAGGAGGGAAGCAGCCCCTCTCAGGCGCTGCCTTCGTGTCTCACCAGTGGTTGTGGGGGGGCCCTGGCCTGGTGCCTGTGCCAGAGCCGAGGACCCACCCAGCCACTCCAGGGGCTCCCGCTCTTTCCAAGGGGCCCCCTGGGCTGCCCACAGCCACAGCAGGAACCCCCTCGGCCTAGTTCTTTCTCAGCTCTGCTCGTTTTGCTAGTGTCCAGTGCTGCCTTGTCCACTCACAGCCAGGAGGGGGCCCTCCTGCCCCTGGGCTCATCTCCCCAGCCTGGCCAGCACAGACGGCTGGGGACTGCTGCCCCCTGTGCCCTCGCCTGGGCTCAGCCCTCGTCCTGGCTCCGCGACTTCTCGCGTCTCCCCTCCTCCAGAGCCAGGTGGCCAGGTGGCTGCTGCCCCTGAGCTGCTGAGAGGGCTGCCGCAGGGGAGGCGTGCGGCCCGGCAGCTGTCCTGTGCTTTGTTTCACAGCAGCAGCGGCACGCTGGTGTCCACAGTGTGAGGACGCTGACCACGGGCAGCTGCTGCTCGGAAGAGCTTCTGCCCCCCCCACCTGTCTGGTCTCCATCGTTTCCTCCTCAGCTCTTGGTGGTTTGTTCTCGGGTTATTTTTCTTTTCTACCTGCTCCCTCCCTGCCTTTTGTTTGGTGACCCCAGACTCTGTGATCCCCCAGGGTCCATGGTGCTGCCCCATCTCTGCTCCCCGTGTTTACATGCCCCACCCCGTGTGTCCCGCCAGGCGGGACCTGCCAGCCGGGCAGCCACGGGCGGGTGTGCTCACCCCTGCTCACCATCTGCCGTGTTCATGACACACTGTCCCTTTTTGAAGGCTCACTGCGAGCCAGGTCTGAAGTTTGAAGAAAAAGAAAAATCTTTAAAAAAAAGAAACAAAAAAAATGAAAAACAGGAAAAGCACATTTTTTTCCTGAAACACAAAAACAGATATGCATGGACTCCGGTGTACGTACTGTTATTTCTGCATCTGACTTCCCCCAGCGCACGCTGGCCTCTGTGTCAGGAAGGGGAAGGTGCTGGGGGTTGCAAGAGGCTCACGGCCCCATGGGTGCCCTGCCGAGGGCCACACCCAGGGAGGGGCTCGTGCCGAGCTCAGGGGGCCTCCTGAGGAAGCTGGCCGCTCCTGTGAGGGAGGCTGTGGCCCCTGGCCCTGCCCGGCCCACCAGGCCGGGCTCCTGAGGGCTCCCTTTTCTGCAAATGCTGGTGGATGGTGGTCAGAGACCAGGGCACAGGCATCGTTAGCTGGGCCTTGTGACCTCGCACAGTGCACTGGCGGGGAGGGGGTCGGGAGCAGGCGCTGCCCGACCACACTCGGACATTCCAAAGACCTCCAGAGACCACCCTTCACCCCAACGTGTTCCGGAAATCATTTCTTTAACCAGCCTCGTGAAGAGTGGCAGCTGCACAGGGCAGGGGCGCATCCGGGCCTAGCGAGGCTGGCCTGGGGCAGAGCGGCTTTGGACCGGTGCCCCTCTCCTCCCACCTGGGGAAGCAGGCAGCCCCCGCCCCGTCGTCCCTAAACGCTCTCGTCTTTTTGTGTGTCTCGGTGACTTCAGAAACAGACGCACTGGACTCTGGCTACTGGTACTGCCTCTTTGCACCCTGAATCTGGGAAGTGAGCCCCAGGGGTGCAGCCCGCCCGGCTCTTCCTGCCGGAGCCCTGGGCAGCTGTGGACGCTCCTCCTCTGCTGTGCATTAGTGTCCGGTCCCCCGCAGACCAGAACGTGGCTGGTAGTGTTTGTGAGAGAAGCAGCTCAAGACTCAGACAGACCCCCTTTTATATTTAAGGAGAAACAAAGCCAGAACATGGACCTATGTAAAAAGAACCTCTGTGTTGGTGTTCTCATTTTGCTAAAAGATTTCAAATCCAGGGGATTCCATGCTCAATGGAAGAATGTAGACACAAAACCGCAGAACTTGTATGAAGATGTAAAGTGCTGAAAATTATATTCCCTGTTTCCTTTCTTCTTCCTTTTTTTTTTTTTAATCTGAATTGTGCCCTGTGCCGCAGTTGTTGGAATAAAAGTTTTATTTATTGCATCGAGTTGGGTGTGGAGCCTCCTTCCAGCCCCGCATGCAGAGCCTGGCCACCCTAGCCGGGCAGCCTCCACAGAACCACTGCCTGGCAGACAGCGCCGGCCCACGCCGCTTGCCGGGAGGGGCACCTCGGGCAGCCCCACCCAGAGGAGAGAGCAGGGCCACGGGGCGTGACCCAGGGACACCCTGCCCTTCGAGCTCCTCCCTGCAGACGCCTTACCGGGGCTGGAGGGCCAGCCGCCAGGTGTCCCCCATCCTCCGGCCACGCGTCCGCGCAGAGTCCTCACACCTAGCCCTCCGCCTGCACCAACCAAGCCCTTGTGTTTCCTTGCAGCGCCGAGGTGGAAGTGGCCAGGTTTTGAGCGCCCTGACTAGAGTTAGTAAGTTGCCCTGGTTTTCTTGTGCTGGTCATTCTGTGTTCCCTGTGGCTCTGGACAGACCCTCTGGCCTCGGGCAGGGGGTGGGGCCTGAGGGTCTGCTGAGCCTGCCTCTGCTCTGGCTCGGGGCCTCTGCTTCCCCTCGGATCCCTCCTTGGGCTCTCAGATTTTCCCCTTCTGCCTGGAAGCTTGTGGGTCTGACTCGCTGCCCTGCCACTGTGTCCCCTGTCCGTGGCACCTCCCCAACTGCTGGGCACGGGTCTGGCCCTTGCCCTCTGCTGGGTTTCTCCTGCCTCTGCTGGGTGCTTTGGCCACATCAGGGTGAGGCTGTGATCAGCTGCGAGGCTGGCTCTGGGTGCCTTTGAGTGTTTCTTGGACGGGCCTCTGTGGGCAAGGGTCTGAGCCTGGCCTGGCTGGCTCCTGGGTTGCTGAGTATTGCAGCCCCGTGGGGGCTGGGGAGACCAGGGTGGGGTCCTGGGGACAGCTCTGTGGCTTGTGCCCAGATGAGTGCTGCAGGCATGCTGGAGCAGGCGCTCATGTCTGCCCCACTGGGGACAGGTGGACACAGTGGCTCTGCTGCCCACTCTGCCCGGGTCAACTCACCTCTGCCCCGACGTGGCTCCAAGGGGCTGCGCCAGGTTTTCCAGACCAGGCCCTTGGCTGCCACATGTGGGTGCCCTTGGTAGCTTCCTCTAGGCCCCTCCTGGTGACTGTCCTGTCCCCTGGGTCCTTGGAAAGTAAGCACCGATGGCTAGTGGGAGAGGGGGAGCTTACTGCCCTGGGCCCCTATGCTGGGTCAAGGCAACACTGCTGCTCATCTCTCCCTACTCCCAGCCCCAAATCACTGAAGAGGTTGCTACATGAAGCTGGTACCTCGATCCTTTATAAAGGATGGTGATCACTTTAGTCCCACTGGGCGTCACAGCAACGCCATCCTACCTGTGGGGAGCTGGACCACTTAAACAGATCCTGGACTCTCAGTCTCCTTTCACCGCCTTTCTGTTGGTGAGCTGCAGTGTGAGTTCTGGAAAGTTCTGGAATAACTCCTGAAATTTGCGGACAGGGTGGAAATGCCTTTGACCCTGGCTTAGCAGTGGGTGACCCTGGGCCAGCCTCCTTCCCTGCCTTAGATTCTTCCTCTTCCGAGAAGGTGTCTCTAAGAGGCTTGCATCCCCCACCTGCAGACAGTACAAACCCCCCACCTCTGCCACCCTTTGGTCCCTCTGAGCTGGTGGGGCCAAGCTTTCCTCGCGTGAGGGAGGCACGGGAAGGGCTGAAGCCTCCAGGACTCCATCCCTTGGTATAAGGCAGACCTAGGGGGTGCTCGGCCCCAGGAGCATGCAGCACGGCGCCACCAGCTAGGTTCCTGGCTGTACCGAGTCTGCTCAGCCTGACTATTCAGCTGGGGATGGAGTGTGCAAAGCCACCACTGGTTGGTTGAGGGACCTGCCCAGCTTTGCCCGAGCTTACAGCCCTGGGAGGGGGGCTGGGAATGAGAACGACTCAATTCCAGAAAGGCTGACATTCTGAAGTCATGGAAAAACCACTTATGTCTTAGGAGGAGAAAGTTCAGGAGAAAGTGGAGACGTATGCGGTAATTGCCGTCTTTGCTCCTCTCTGCTCTGGAATCACCAAAGGATGGAAGTCGCACTTTGCCATGACTTGGCTGTTCTCAGAATTACAATTTCTTACTCAAGTAGCGGACTCAAAATCGCCTTAGATGATTCTCTAAAACCCGCAGCGACACAAGCTTCGTGAGCCTGGAATTGAACGCTGCTCGACTGCAGCCTTCGACCCTCCTTAGGCTGTAGGGGTTTGCCAGGGGCAGAGGCAGTGGGGTCAGGACCCCTGTGCTGCCCGGGGTCCCTGAGGGCTGGCTGTCCAGGAGGCAGTGCAGGGCAGCCCTGCCCCCTTGAACTGCAGCCCGACCCACCCTCCCCCAGCAGGGGTCCAGCTTGTGCTTTCCTGAGCCAGGGGCTTCAGGCCTGGTCCGTGCTGTGAATGGAAATCCGTTCTCTGTGTAAAGCCGCCAGTCCTCCCACGTCCCTGCTCAGGAGTCCCTTGGAGAGGGGACAGAGCTGCACCCCTGGCGTTCCTCAGCCAGTGCCCCCAGGGGGAGAGCCCCACACAGCCCCTCTGGGCCCCAAGCACTTGGGCGGTTCTTGTTGACTTGCTTTGCTGGCACAAGGAGCGTGTTTTGTGTCTTGGTTTGTTGTCAATCAATCGTCCGCCGACAGTGCTGTTGGGAGAAGGCTCGGTGCCTGGCGTCCGCCTCTTGGCAGGGACAAATGTCTGGGGACGAGAGAATCTACAGTGGCCTTAGGTCAAAATCTTGTTCTGTTTTGTCATCCGGTCGGCGGTCACACAGGTACCCTCCCCAGGGTAGCTCATGAACCCGTTCTTTCACAGAACATTCCAGAAGGTGCTAGGCCCCTGAGCGGCCACACCCCTCCTCTGATGCTGAGTGGTGGGAGGGTCCTGCCCATGGGTCTCTGGCCAGAGCTGCGAGGGGGAGGGGGCTGCGGGCCGCACCCGATCCCTCAGAACCTGCAGTGTGGAGGCAGTGCGCTCCCCGGTTCAGGTCACACTGTTCTTGGGGGAGGAAATAAGAAAAGGGGGGGTCAGAAGCCAGACCCCTGGCAGGGGAGACCCTTCCCATCCCGCAGCTCCCTCTGGCCCCGGCTGACGATGACGCTTTGCCACTGGCCTCTCTGATGAGAATTCAAGTGTGTCAGGACAGGAGTAAGGTGTGAGCTGCCCAAACCCACTCGGCCATTTTGCCCCTGGCTCTGGCCAGCACAGTGCTGTCCTCTCTTTTCTGGGGCACAGGGTCTGCGTTCCTCCCTCTGCTCCGTCCCTGATCCTAGACGGACTCACGTGCCCCATCTCCAGCCCCCCAGGACCTCCTGCCTCTACCGTGGTTGGGCACAGCTGAGGGCACAGAGCCCTCTTCTAGAACCAAAGTCTGTAGTTCAGGTAGCAGCCAGGGCACGGGCCATCCTCCACCCTCCATCCCCGGGGCGGATGTCCGTGTGCATGGCAGAACCTCGCCTTTAGAACCTCCAGGTGGCCCCTGCCTGTGGCCGGCGTGGCTGAAGCTCGGCTGCTCCATCAGAGCCGAGAGGCCCAAGTGAGCAGAGCCTGAGGCCTCCTGGGGGCTGGAGGCGCCTTTAATCTGGGGCCGGAACGCTCTAAGTCAGAAGATGCTCGTCGTCCGTGTGCATGGGAGCCGCCGGACTCTCAGATGTCCCCAAGGAGATGCAGAAGCTGCGCATCAAGGGTCAGCTGCCTCTCAGTAGCTTAGCCTTTTACAAACTCAATCCAGAGAGTCTCCGCTTTTTAGAAAACCCCACGTCCTCAGGAAAACACAGGGCTGTCTGCCTGGGCACACTGGAGGGAATGCCCGCCCGCCTGCCCAGCTCCCGTGGACGCCCAGCCCCGCTCTGCCAGAGGCGACTCCCGTCCAGGTAACGGCTCCGGAGCTGAGCGCTTCGCCAAGAGTGCCGTCCTGTCCCTGCCGAGCCCTCCGTGTCCCACCTGCCATCCGTGCTGTCACTCCTAGGGCTGTCTGACGTCCCCTGGCACGCTGTCTTACACTTCCCTGCCCAGGCAGGGCCTCCCGAGCCTGCGGGGATTCGAGGAGGAGAGGCTTCCGTGAGGACCCAGCCCCTCCGTGCTCATGTCGTTCCATCTCAGCCTCTTGTCTGGCGAGTCCATCTGTATGTCAGCTGTGGCCTTGGGCATGCAGGGGAGGGCGTAGCTCCCCTGGGGTGACAGGTGGCTAACCTCTCACCAAGGAGGTGGTCAGACCCCCTGGGGGGGCTGCAGGTGTCCACCCCTGCCAGCCCTATCGCTGCCAGTGTGCCTGTACCTCGTGTCTGTCATGTCGGCGTGGGGCGGGCTGAGGCCCGTGTCTGCTCCGGGCCACCTTCCGGGCCACCTTCCGGCCCCCGGGATGCATGGGCCGGGCTCATGTGGCTGCTGAGCTGTGTCTCTGTGTCGACAGGCGTGTCCTTGGCCAAGGGCTCAGCTGCTGTTCTCGGGCACATGGCGGGTGGGCTGCCTGGCCTTGTGGGGCCGCTCACCAAACTCGGACACAGGCCCTTTTGGGACTGCTCGGGTTGCTGAGAAGGAACTGGCTCTGGGCCCCCAGTGTGAGGTGGAGGCTGCAGTGGGGCCCCTCCCTCACACCCACCACCCTGCCCTGGGAGGGTTGGTGGTTCAAGGCGTGGGCGCAGTGGGGGTGAGCCGAGCGTGGCATATTGGGGGTCAGCTGGCCGTGTGGACGGCACCCTTCCCTGACTGCCATGCAGCCTCCATTGCTCACTGGCTCTGAGCTTGGAGGCTGGGTCATCAAGATCGGCCGGGTCACCAGGTCGAGGCCACCGCAGGGCTGGGGACCCACGGGCTGTAGGGTAGTTCACAGCACCCCCCCCCCCCCGCCCCTACTAAAACCACTCTTCTCTCCTCTCCTCAGGAATCCCTTCGCCAACGTCCAGCTGAAGCCGACAGTGACCAATGACAGGTCTGCCCCCCTCCTCAGCTGATGGCCCCGTCTGCACCCGCTGCCCATTGGGCCCTTCTTCCCCCACCTCCACCAGTAACCTGTTTTCTTACAACCTGAGTGGTCTCTGTTTAGAGAATTTTCTCCTTCCGAGCCCTTCACCTGCCCAGAGCTCTACCCTCACATCAGTCCGGCCTGGGCTGGACCCCGGCTGTTCCTGTGGAGGTGGCACCTGGCACCTGGAGCCGAGACCTGCTGCTGGGCCATGGGGCCGGCCTCACAGGGTAGGCGCCTCTGGTTGTGCAGGCATGAAGCCACCAGGGTGCAGGGAAGGACACTGCGTCAGCTTGTAGCTGGAAGGGGAGCCCAGCTCCCACTGCTCATGCCTCCTAAGTGGTCAATAAATGGGCTGCCCCTTTGTGCCCAGCTGTGATCTGTCATCTCTGCCTCTGGGGGCAGAGGCCTGGGGTGCAGGGACCCGGAGAGCCTGCCACCCTTCTTTGGAAGATGAGTTTATTATGAGCACTTAACTTTCTGGGTCCCCGAGCTGTGTGCCATTGAGGGGGAGTCCCCCTCCCCACTACGGCTGCTTCCATATTTCAGCTGAAATACAGATTTTAGAAACTTTATTATGGATCCTGCTGTTTGACGTTTATTGGTGAAATACCGCCACAGTGACTGCGTTGGTGGCAGCAGTCCTCATATGGGAGAAGTTCCAGGCCGAGCTCGCTCCTCCCAGGAGCGGTTCTGGAGCCCTCAGGTGCCTGCCCGTTCCCCAGGATGGGAAGCATGGCATGGGGGGCCAGGGGCACACAGGCCTCTCACCTCACAGAAGCTGGAGACAGGCCCAGTGGGGGAGGCAGGGTCACAGGGCAGATATTTGGTGTGGGGTCGCACAGAAGCCCCAACTCCTCAAAACCCTGCCTCCCAGCTTCCGTCTCGGCCCTGTGCTGGGGGACAGGCTTGGCCCCTGGGAAGGCAGGGGGACAAGCTTCCTGGGGAGGTCTGTGGGTCCCCCTCCGCATCCTTACCTAGGCAGAGCCAGCTATGGGGCAGGAAGAGACAGCTGCAGGAGCAGACCCCCCTGCTCTGGACAGACCCCCACCAGGCATACTGGGGACCCACATCACCGTCTTGTGCCACCAAGGTATACAAAGGACAGTGTGGGGAAAAGGGCCACTCCCTCCTGCACCCCACTCCCCGTGGTCAGGAGGGACTACTGTGGCCCCCCCAGGCAGAGCTGGCAGCTGGGTCCCCAACCAGCATGGCCATGCCTGCTCCTGCCCAGAGTTTTATCTGCAGACCCCAAAGGAAACATACGCAGCACGAAGGCTTTTTTTTCCTTAGCTTGATTTAAAAAACAAAGAAAGAAGGAACAGGAAAATCATTGCACCAGCATCTTAAGCCTCAAACTAATAAAACTAATAAAAAACAAAAACCACAAACCCCAAATGAGTCCCCCACCCACACCCCCAAAGCAACAACAAACTTTACATCTCTTTGGCAACAATAACTTAAGATCAGCCCATTTCCATTCTCGGTTACAAAAATAGTCCCTGTGCTGCCCCGCCCCCACCCTCCTCCCAGCTCCAGCCTTCCCCATCCCTGCCGGCAGGAGCCCCGGACAGTGACCGGGGGGTACAGCCCCCACTGTCCTTTGGCAGCTGGGCCAGGCTGGGCAGTGCCCTGAAGAGGGGAGCTGCCTGCACCAGCCAGCCATGGGCACCTCTAGAACGGGGCCACCGCGGCAGGGCTGCCCAGCTTGGCCCACCTGCCTGGGCTCCAGCAGCGGGACCCAGGTACATGAGCCAGCCCAGACCCTTGGGGAGGGAGCGCTCACGGGGTTAGCCGAGTCAGTGAAGGGGAAATACAGCCACAGACTCTGAGGTAAGGGTGGCGGAGGGGGGGCACACGAGCCCAGAGTCCTCATCTATTACTGAGCAAACGCAGAACCAGGCCGAAGGGATGAAGGGGGCGGGGAGAGGCCGTCCCAGCGGGCTTGTGCCTGCTCTTGCGTGGGGTGGGACACAGCATCCTGCAGCGCATGCAGGAGCCAGGTGGCAGGGTGTGCAAGGCCCCCCAGCCAAGAGCAGGTCCCCTGGCCTCAGAGGCCAACCAGTCCAACTGCAGCGTCCAGGGTGGAGGGGCAGCTGCAAGGGGAGTAGCGCCCGGGTCCCGGGCAGTAGGGCATCCCTAGGGGTAGCAGCAAACCCGAGTGTCCAGGACACATCCTGCCCCCGGGGCAGCATGGGCTGGCGTGCACCGTGGCTCCACTGTCCTGGCTGGAGCGGGGCCTCTTATCCCGCCCTGCTCCGGGGCGCTGCGTGGGGCACTGAGGCACCGGAAGCTGCTGCCGACCGCCGACAGGGCTGCGGTCCCCACTCTCTCTCCATCACCATCCTCGCTGCTTCCTGGAGCAGGACCATCAGGGGGTCTGGCGACACTGGCCTCCAAGCGGGAGCTGCCTGGGCCTCAGGCCTCTTTGCAGCTGCCCCCAGCACCTGCTGCAGGGCCTGGCAAACAGGAGGGGCCACGTGAGCATTCAGTGACTGGAGACACAAGGACTCCTGAGAGGACCCTGCCTTCTACGGACAGCCAGAGATTCCTCCCCCAGGACTCCCACCTGGCCTGGATCCCTGGCCTAGAGGCCGCTGACCAGCTGGGGCTGTGGTCCTCAGGCCCCTTCGCTGCAGTAGGTCTGCCTATTGTCTAGGAGGGAGCTGGACCCATTTTTTTCCCACCGCATCACCAGGGCCCAGGCCCAACAAAGCTCAGCAAGTGCCCTCCACGTCCTCCTTTTACAGGTGGGGGAACTGAGGTCCCAACAGGATGGGGCCAGGGTCACGCACTCGCCTCCTGTGACCTGCTTGTTTGCTCAGATGTCCACTAAGGGCCGAGTAGTGCCAAGGACAGGCTGACAGGCCCTTCTCTGGAGGCTGCAGCCACAGGCCAAGGGCAGCAGGGGAGGGGCTAGGTCTGGCCCAGGGACAACATGGCCGGGAGGCATCTCGGTGGAGGTGGGTGTTCAGGGAAATGGCTGGCAGCAAAGGATTTGTCAGGCCCAGGGGTCGGGTCTGTGTGTGCGGTCAGCCTGGTAGGGATGGACCTGCCTGGTCTGTGGGTGATGGGAGAGGAGCACGGAGGGAGGGTGAGCTAAGGCCCTGAGGAGGGCCCCCACCTGGGCACCTGAGCCACCACCATTCGTGCCTCTGGGCAAGAGCTGTCAGATCTGAGACATGCCAGGTCCTGAGGCACCGGCAGCGGGCAGGGACAGCGGCTGAGGCAGATGAGCAGGGGCTGGGAAGGTTGTGGTGGGAACGCTGCCGCAGGTTTTAGGGGCTAAGATCAGGTAGAGAGCAGGCTGGGGGCGCTCAGTGTCCAGTGGTGCCTCGGGAGGAGGGAGCAGAGGGTGAGGCCTGAGGGCCAGGCAGCGTGCAGTCTAGGCCCTGGGGCCCAGGGATGTGCCGGGCCAGCTGTGTCTGGGACACTGCATCTCCCTGAAAGGCAAGGAGGCGAGGCCTTGCCAAGGGGGCCGGGATAGGCAGGCTTGCCGCGACCTTGACCTCTCCAAGCCTCAGTTTCCACGTCCGAAAACAGCTTGTCCAGAAGAGGAGAAATAATGAGGGCACCCGGCCGCCCTCTCCACTACCCTCCGCGAGGTCCCCTCCCGCCAGCCCCGCCGCAGCCTCACCTCCCACGGAACCGGCGTCCGAGTCGGAAACTTGCGTGATGGAGAAGCGGGATGCGGGCGCGGGCGACACGGTGAAGCGCGAGAAGGGGCCGGACGCGGCCGGTTTGCGGGGCGCTGCGGGGGCGGGCGCGGCGGGCTCCGGAGCCGGCGCCAGCGGGAAGCCGTCGTCCCATTCGAACGCTGCGCCTGCAGGCCGCCCGCTGTCACTCGGGTGCGCGACAGCGCAGGGGAGGTGGGGGTTGGGGGAAAGAGGGCGCGGCCTCGCCTGCCCGTGACGTCACGCCCCGAGGGTCCCGCCCACCCGGGGAGTCACCGCCCCGCGGGCCCCGCCCCCAGCTCACCAGCTTCCGCCGCGGAGCCGTCGGGGGAGCGGTCCGCTCGTCGCCGCCGGCCTGGGGCGCTGGGGGAGCTGGGGCTGCCCGCTAGAAACGCGGGGGGCGACTCCTTGCTTCCAGGGAACGGCTCCCCGAGCTCCCGGGTGGGGCTTTCCTGGAAAGTCAGAGCAGCACGTGGCTCGGGCCGCCAGCAGCGGCCACTCCCACAGCTTCCCGTCTCGCTAGGGACCCCCAGCCCAGTGCAGAGCCCCGTGCGGCCGCCTACCTGGTCGAAGAGGTAGACAGTGACGTCGTCGAAGAAGGATACGGCTTTCTTCTTGCGCTCCAGGTCCTCGCAGAAGGCCTCGGACAGCAGGCTGGGCATCTTGAGCAGGCTGCGCAGATTGCGCGCGCTCTGGCTCTCGGCCACCACCACGGGCACGGGCGGCACCTCCTCCTCGCTCTCCTCGCTCGGCTCCTGGATGCTGTAGCAGCGGAGCTCCTCGTCCGACTCGTCGCTGTCGTCGCTGTCGTCCTCTTCCTCCTCCGACCGGCCCTCTGGGGCTGTGGGGAGTCCCGGCAGGGCCAGGCAGAGTGGGGCTCTGGGGGCGCTCGGCCCCCCTGTCCGTTCCTTCAGGGCCAGGCCCGACAGCAGTCCCGGGGCCTCCTGGAGCTCAGCGCGGTGGCCTTCTGAGCTCAGTGGAACCGGGGTCAGCAAGAAAATCTTGGAACGCCCGGAGCTGGGCTCCGGTGGCACCTGGGCTGGGCCTAGGGCCCAGGGAGTCTCCTGCCTGGGACCTGTGGGGCAGGCGCTTGGCTCTGGGAAAGAGTCCTCAGACAGCGGCAGTGGCGGCACCTCCCTGGGGCCAGCGCCCTGTGCCTCTGTGGACACCCCAGGCTCAAGGAAGGGCTGTGCAGGCTGCAACCCAGGGCTATGCATGCTCTCCAGGTCCAGCTCTGGCCCCGGGGCCTGAACACCTCCTGGCTTCTCCTCGGGGCCCAAGGAGGGCTCAGGCTCGGGATCCAGGTCAGAGAAGTAGGCCGAGTCGCGGTAGGGGTTCTTCTCACTGAGGCCACCAAGGGAGGTGGAGAGCCGAGTCTCAGGCCCAGGGCTCTCACCTTCTGAGGCCAGCTCCCCGAAGGCCTCAGGCTCGCACAGCTCATGTGCATCCTTGAGCACAAACTCGGGAGACTCGTAGTTTTCTGTGTCATAGCCACTGTCTAGGGCTCGGGGCTGCCCACCAGGGGTGCCAACAGCCGACGGGCTGAAGACCTCACAGCCGCCATCACTGGCTGAGGACGGGATGTCCAGCGAGTCCAGGGAATCAGGGGTCCCCACCTGCTTCTGCAGGGACCGGAAGGCCGGTGTCACTTCTGGCTTCTCAGCCTGCGGGCCATCGCTGGACAAGTCAGTGAAGATGCCAGACGTGGCCTCGGTCGTGTCCTCATCCTCACTGCCTGGTGCCTCCAGCTCCAAAGAGCTGCTGCTGCTGTCCAGGGTCTTGGCTGGCTCCGTGGCAGTCAACTGGCTGCCGGCGGGTGTCGGGGAGGCAGGCAGGGCGGCAGGGGCGCTGGCCTCCTCAGCAGGAAGCAGGGCTCCCTCTCGGGATGGGGATGGGATGGAGGGAAGGGGCAGTTGGAGTCCAGCGGAGCCCTCAGCCTCCTCTGCAAGCCTGGGCTCTGCCTGGGGGCTGTCACCCCCGCTTACAGCTGCCTCTGTCCAGGGGGTTGTGACCAGGCAGGTGGCAGATGCCAGGTCTTCAGCAGGACACAGATCGGGGAGGCCAAGGCAACAGCCCGGCTCCTGGCCAGAGGAGGGCCCCTTTGGCCCAAGGAGAGGCTCTCTGGGGTCCTCTGGGGCCAGGGGATGGACCAGCTCAGGGACAGCCTGTAGGGTCTGCTTCATGCCAGGGCAGCAGTCCGAGTAGCTGCTCGCATAGCCGGGGTCCCAGGACTCGGCTGCTCGGCTGCTGCTGTTGTTGTTGGCCGATACATTGGAACTCCAGTGTCTGTGCTGGGCGGCCTTTCGGGCCTCTGCTTCCCCCAGCTCCTCCGCACCCGGGGAAAGCCGGGCCCCGGAGCTCCCCGAAGGGGACGTGCCCAGTGGGTCCTCAAAGAAAGGCGGGCAGAAGGCGGCTGCGCCCCAGTCGGTGTCCTCCGCCCCAGGCTCCGCCAGCATGAGGGCCCTGGGGGAGGGGGAGGGCGAGCGCGAGGAGCAGGGCGGGTCCCGGGCGCCACTCCTGCACGAGTAGTAGTCGCAGTGGCCCCAGGGGCCGTCGGCGGGCGGCGCGTGGCCCAACAGCGGCTCCATGGCCAGCGAGGTGGCTGTGCTGCCGTCGGAGTCGGAGTCGTGGTCACCGGGGTCAGGGTGCGGGGTCGTGCCGCGGGGGCTGAGGGCGCAGCCGGCACAGTCGAGATCGTGGCCGGCGGCGGGCGTAGGCTCCTCCAGGCGGATGAAGTATTCGCTGCCCACCGAGGGGCTGTGCGCGCTGAGCACGGGCACCACGCCCGGGGGCGCGCCGTCGGGGGCGCAGAGCTCCTGCAGGCGCGCGGCGCGCCCAGGGCTTGGCGCGCCTCCGGGCAGTGGGAAGGCCTCCGCGCCGCGGCCCGCCTCCCACTTGTACTCAAAGTTGAGGCCGCGGCTCGTCTCTGTCACCGTCAGCACGTCGTCGCCGTCCGCGTGGAAGCCGTCGCCGGCGAACTGCTCCAGCAGCGGGAAGGAGGAGGCGGCCGCGAGTTCGCCAGCGCCCCCCAGTGCCAGGCCCGCCGCCCCCGGCCCGGGGCCCGCGCCGCCCCCGCCCGGCCGCAGCGAGCGCCAGCGCCGCTCGAACTCCTCCTCCGCCTCGGTGGCGCCCTTGGCGCACAGATAGGACAGCAGCAGGTGCACCTCCTCCGCCGTGGGCCGCTGCTCTGGCTGCAGCCAGCAGAACTGCATTACCTCGTACCTGCGGGGAGGGAGGCCCCGGGCTCAGTCCCCGCCCACGGGGCCCTGCCCGCCCCCCACGGGTGGCAGTGCACAGCCCCCGGAGGAGTGAGCCCATCTGCCCTCAACCGGAGGGCGTGCGTCCTCTCCTCCTCACCCTCAAAATCGCTTGAGGGCAGTTAAGGGAATCTCCCACTTAGTTAAAGGAGACCCACATCTCCCCAGGTGGGCTCAGCGGTGTGGGAACTGGAAGCGTGCCGGGGCACCTTTCCCTTAAGTCATCCCTGCCCTGCCTGCAGGTGAATTTGTGTTTTGGGCAAAGAGGCCATTTCCGTTTGGGCAGAGTGTGGGGCCCAGACGTCACTGCCGGCCAGAGGGGAGCCAGGGGAGCTGGAAACCCGGGCGTCTCCAGTCACGAGGAGCCGCTTCTACCCTAGGGACTCTCAGCATCCCTCTTTGCCTCTGCCCTCCTGCTGGGGACACCCCCCCGGCCCCGCCTGGCATCACTGGTCCTCACCAGCGGTCCGACAGCGTCAGTGGCAGCTGGGGCTTGGGCAGCTTGAGCTGCTGCTCCCGCACAGCATAGGCCAGTACCTGCCGGTCGGAGTGGTGGGGGTAGGGCTGTGTGCCCAGCTCAAAGAGTTCCCAGATGGTCACGCCGAGGGACCTGCAGGGGTGACCGCCATCAGAGGGGCTGGCGTGGCCGGCCATGGCGTGGGCCACACAGGAACCCAGCACCTCAGAGCCTTGGGCACCAAGGGGCAACTCCTATCATCACACCAGCTTCTTGGGATGCCCCTCCCAAAAGACGGTGCCTTCCTTAAGTGAACGGGCAGCATGGGCCACCTGACCAAGACCAAGCCCGCACCCAGGGTGCCCAGGCAAATCGAGGCCAGCCTGGCCTTACAGGGACCTAGGTCCATCCTTTCGTTCATTCATTCATTTCTTGCCATGGTGAAGACCAGTCACTGTAGCAGGTATGAGAGGCTGGAAAGAGGGAACCCAGCCGTGGGGTGAGGCTGCGGGAGGGGTAAGCCCAGGGATGTCCCAGCCCAGCAGGGGTGGGCCTGGGGAACACACAGGGGCCGCCAGAGCACGTGGGGCTAGGAGGTGACTGGGTTCCTTCTGGTGGGTGGTGGCTTCACACAGTTCCTTGGGACCCCAGGCTGTCCCTGGAAGCTGGAGTCATGAGGGACAGAGCAGATTTGGCAACGGAGAAGTCACAGTGACCTTGGCCCAAGCCATCTAGGGGACCGCAGCCAGCATGCAGCAGGGGAGGCAGGCAAGGGAAGGTTAGCTTGATGCAGAGGCGAGGCTCAGGGAGGCAACGCAGTGTCCATGACAGGGGCATGGTTAAATGGCTCAGGGGAGGGCCCCTGGAAAGCTCAGGAAGGCGGGCTGGTCCATGGATCCAGGCTCTGAGGGTTCATCAGGAGCAGAGGGGAGGCCACACTGAGGCCTAGGGGGCTGGGAGGAGGTGGGGAGGGGAAGCAGAAGCTGGTCAAGGACAGGGCCAGAGGACCACCATGGCAGAGATGTCCCTCACAGCCTGTAGAAGTCCACACCTTCCATCTCTCAGGCCGGCTCGGAGCCTGGCCTTGTGGAGGCTGCAGTGCTGGGTCTGAATGCCCACTCTGTGCCCAGCTCGGTGCCTCCAGGCTGCAGTCCTGGAGATCCCTGGCCCCTACCAGCCCCTCTTCATGGGCACAGGTGCCACATGAACCCCCGCCCCATCTCATGGGTACAGTCTGTTGCTCCCAGCAGGCTCTGCAACCTGACGTGTGCTCTGACCCGGATGTCTATGGGTCCTGGGAGGGATGGGACTTCCTCCACGGTCTCCACAGGCCCTGCTGGCCCGCCGACTCAGCCACTGTGGGCCACTGGCACTGGGCAGCCACGGGTGGCTCCAGCACCCCCATGACCTCACCTAGGGACATGTTTGGCCCCCTCCAACAGAGTGATGAGATTGGACAGAGGAGCATGTCATTGTACACGTGGCCTTTCTTTGAGTGGCCAACGTGCATCCCCTCCAACGTGGAGGAACAGGCCGGCAGTGGGGACTCAGGCTGGCAGGGCACCCAGTGGGCCTGCAGGCCCTGCGTCCTCACCGTGCACTCACTCGGGCTCCGGGCAGGGCAGCCGTGAGGGCTGAGGCAGCAGGTGGGAGTACAGCCATCGACTTTCAGGGGCCGCATCCTCACGTGGGCCCCCAGGACACACACTCACCACACGTTGCTGGCCTTGGTCTGGTCCACCACCAGCAGGTTGCAGTGCACCTCGTCCACCAGCTCGGGCGCGATCCAGCGCAGCGGCACCCACAGCTGGTCAGCAGTCACGAAGTAGTCCTCCTGTGGGCACACAGGACAGTGTCACCCGCTGGGGCCCGGGTGGCCAGCCCTGCCCCTCCAGCCGGCCCACTTACTCTGTATTTGCCATGAGACAGGCCGTAGTCGCCAATCTTCACCGTCAGGTCAGCCGTGAGGAGGCAGTTCCTCAGGGCCAGGTCACTGGGGGCAGGAGGGCAGGGTCAGGGCCCTGAGGGAGCTGGACCGCTTGTCACCAAGTGTGTCCTGGGCTCACTCAGTGGGTGGGTGGGAAGGGGCGTCTGAGAGGCTGCCCACCTCCCCATGCCCAGAGGCCCGGCCTCTCCCTAGACTGGGCACTTCACATGGTCGGCAGGGACAGGGCCTCAAATGTTACAACGCACGTGAGGAAGAGGGGGCCCAGCGAGGGCTAGAGCATGCCCAGGGCCCCTCCTCGAAGACGTGGCCCAGCTGCACTGGGTCCCCTCCTCTGCCCGGCCCACGCCCCTGCTTCTCCTCAGACACCAGTCTGCTGACCCGTCCCTCAGGGGAGAGCCAGCCCAGGGACACTGCAGCCTTTCCAGCCACCACACTGTCACCCTCAGCTCCCTGGGAAGCAAGAACCAGTCCTGGTGAAACAGGTCCGAATGTCCCCAGGGGTCCTGCCCCTGCCCACACAGGGCCCCAGGGCAGGGGGCAGGGCGTGGAGTGCCCACCAGCAGCAGAGCCCTGGCTGCCCGGTGGCCGGGTGGGTGTCTGGGGCGTAGGGCACTGGGGCAAACGTGGGTCAGCGTACATCTGCCACACAGCTGCTGTGCCAGGGGCTACAGCTGCGCTTACACGTGGGGGCGAGCAGGCACCGGGGCTGGGTGGGCGCGGCAGGCAGGTCAGGAGGCTGGCAGCTGCCCTCTTCAACAAAATCACTGATGCTGGAGTTGCGTGTGTCATCACTCAGCACCAGGATATTGTTGGGGAGGACGGCCCGTGCGGCGGCTGGGGCTGGCGGGGCCACGTCCATCACCATTTCTTCCGGCATGTCCCCCTACGCTGCGCACCCTGGCCGGTTTTTCCGACTTCAGGGCAGGAAGCAGGACAGAGCCATCCCTCCCCCTGGGCCCGAGGGAGACAGGAGAGCAGGGGTCAGCATAGGGCCACTGGGTGGCACTGACCATGTTGGGGACAGAGGATAGCCTCAGCCCTACTGTGTGCCCACCCAGGCCAGCTGGACAGTGTGCATCGCTTCGCTTAACCGTCCTGTAAAAGCAGGTGTCCAACCCCATGTGCCCGGTGCTTATCACATGATAAACTTCCTTTGCACAACGGTGCTTAGAGGCCCAATAAAGACCAACCCGATGAACCTTCCCACCGCCCAGGAAGCAGGAATTGCTGGTGTCCCTTTCTGCCGGGGTGGGGCCCTCAGACAGCCCAGGGAGCCCCCAGGGCTTCCGGGCCCACCCCCGCCCTCACCTGTGCACATAGTTGTTGCGATGCAAGTGCAGGACGCCGCAGGCCACCTCGCAGGCCATGCGCTGCAGGGTCAGGGGGTCAGGTGGCATGGACTCTGCCACCCGGAAGCTCCGCAGGTAGCCCTTGAGGTCCCCCTGCCGAGAGGGGCAGCCCCGTCAGCTGCTGGCCCGGAGCCGGCACCCGTGCAAACCAACCACCGGGCCTCCCTCCCCACGTGGGGCCTGCTGGGGCGAGCAAGGCATCCACTAAAGGCCAGAGCAGCCGCTGTGGCCATCCCTCAGTGGCCAGCTCTTGACAGGACGACCCCACAGGCAAGGGGCACTTTCTCCAAACCACCCCCATGGACCCAGGCAGACCCAGGGGCCAGAACCCCTGCCACACCCCTCATACAGACCGCTGGGCTCAGATGCCCACCACCTCACAGCTGGTGAGCAGCAGACAGGCCACACAGGCCGTGACGCTGAGCCAGGATGGAACCCAGGGCAGGTGACCAGAGGGTCAGCTGGCAACTCTCTGACCTGCTGACACCACCCAGCTCCAGGAAGGGCCCAGCCATCCTGGGGAAGCCCCAGGAGATCATGGCTACAGCCAGGAGTCCAGAAACCAGACAGTGGGGTCCTGCATACTGCAGGGACCCATGTCTGCTGAGGGCACCTCTGTAGTGCCGGAGCCATGCATGTGGGAAGGCGCCCTGAGGGGGCGGTTTGCAAGCGCAGTCACAGGCCTCAAGATTAAAATGCCACAGAAGCAGAGGTGAGTGGGTGCGAGCCTCCTGCGCTGGCCCAGGTGCCTCCCAGGAAAACTGACCTCCCTCAGCAGTGCAGGTGATGGAGAAGCAGCTGGGGCCTCCCCAGGGTGCAGTGGGGTCCCAGCCCCAACAGCCACCCTCCCTAGTGGCATGGGGTCAGCTCCTCCCCACAGGCCACCTCTGGGAGGTGGTGGGGCAGGGCCCCAGACCCCACTTTATGGGGGACCGTGGGGCCCACAGGGTCGGGGTGAGGCCCCTCTTTGAGGAGGCTGGGCCCACCCACCCGTCATGGACAGACACTAGGGGCAGAGGGTCTGGAGGGCCAGGGAGGGGCAACTCACCATTGGGCAGAACTCCATCACCAGCAGGTAGGGCGTCACCTCGGCGCACTGGGCCAGGCACTGGAGCAGGTTGCTGTGCTGCAGGGCCCTGCGGGAGCCAACAAGCTGCCCCCTGACACACACTCAGGACAGGAGGGGGCGGGCGAGCAGGGAGCCGGGCTGGCTCTGCAGGGGTGGGGGAGCAGTGGGGGCAGCACAGAGCTGGCCTTTGTTTACAGGGCCCCCCCTCCCCGGCCTGTTGCTGCCTCCTCCAGCCTCGCCTGTCCCCAGGTGCCACCCACCTGTAGGGCTGTGCCTCCTCCAGGAACTGCATCTGCTCCTGCACACTGGCGCTGGCCTTCAGCTCCTTCACCACCACCTGGGAGCTGCTGATGCCAGAGTTCACCTCCCCCAGGAACACCTGCGGGGCGGGCAGAACCTCAGCCTCCACTCTCCCCAGGCTCCGCTCCAGCCCCTGCTCTTCCTCTCTCCCCTGCAACCGGGGACAAGGCACTTCTTTCTGTGCCTTGCTTTACTCATCTGCAAAATGGGTTCTGGATCCCTCCCAGGTGAACCCAGCTGGCTGGAACATTGAGTCTTATGGGTTCATGTCCCCCAACGCCCCCAGCTGTTCTCAGCTCTAGCTCTGGGGGTCTGCAGGGAGGAAGAGGGACTCGGTTGCCCTGCCCAGCCGGGGTGTGGGGGGAGCGAGGACCAAGATGCTGCTCCCCACCTCCTGTGCCCCCAGCCCAATGAGAGACACCTCCCAGTGTCTGACACAAGGACCTGAAGAGAAGGGGCTGTGGACCCTATGGACCCTGAGCTCCCCAGGGAGGGGCCCAGCAGGGTGAGGCCTGCAGAGGGGCCCACGGTGCCAGCCCACCCTGACACCCAGGTCGCAACTCACCTTCCCGAACCAGCCGTGGCCAATCTCCTCCAGGTACAGGAGGCTGTGCCGGCCCAGGTCTGTGGACTTGAGCAGCTGCACTGTAACAGGGCAGGGGGCTCAGAGACCCCACCTCAGCCTCCATCACTGCCCCCATCTTCCCTCGCCTGGTCCCTTGAGGGGCTGCCTGCATGGCCTGTTCTGGGGAGCCGCCCTGAGCCCCTGAGAGCTGGGGCCACACCTAGAGGCTGCCATCAGGAGCAGGGCATCTGCTGCCCTGGAAAGCCGTGGACCTGCAGGCTGCATTCGGGCATCTTTCCGGCGGGTCTGGGAAGGCTGTGCCCCAGCTACAGGGTCAAGCCAGGCAGGAGACGGCAGGGCCTGGAGCCGGGACTGGTCCACAGGCAATGCCTGGCAGGCAGGGAGGTGGGGCCAAGGCCATGGGGAGGAGGGCACTGGGGCGGCCCGCCCCTCGCCCCTCACAGGCTGGCATTCCAGCGCCAGGCACGCCAAAGGCCCCTTTGTTGGGGTCTGCTTGGCACAGCCCTGTACGGAACACACTGGGCCCATTCTCCTGCAGGCCGGGCTGGGTGAGGTCAGCAGGGAGAAAGGGTCAGCGAGGGCCCCGGAGGAACGGCCAGGACCGCTGAGCCCACTCACGCCCTGCCTGTGCCCCGAGGGATTCCCTAAATTCTGCTCCCACGCCAAGTGCCTGGAGGGCCCAGGGGAGAGGGCCTGAGCCTGGCTACCAGGAGAGCCCAGGGCTGAGGGGCTGCTCCCAGGGACCCAAGACTTCAGGGAACCTTGACCTTGATGCTGAGCACAGTTTAGGGCGCGGGTCCCGTTAGGCTGTGTCCCAGGGCTCCTCTCCCTGAGCCCCAGACTGATGCCCCCAACTCTCCGGCCTGGGGTCTCCCTGAGCAGGCTCTCCAGCGTCCTGATAGTGGACACTGGGCCAGCGAAGGAGGCGGGAACATGCCACCTGCCAGCCAACTGGAAAGTTCCCCTCTCAGCTGTAGGAGGCACGGCGAGCTGGGGCTGGGGGACTGGGGTCCACCCGAGGGGCAGCGCCCACAGGGGAGCCCAGAGACAGGGCCTGGCTGACTGTGCTGTCCTTCTCCGCAGTCTCAAGGGCTGGGACCTGCTGTCCAGGCTTTTGACCCTTGACCTCCAGGTGGGCTGCCCTCCTAGCATCACCGGAAATCTCTCCCTTTCCTCTCCAGAAGCAGGGTACCCGCAGAAAGCTGAGACCAGAGCTAACAAATAGAGAAACAAGCAATCGCTGTCCTCTCGTGGGTCCCTGCCCCCTGTCCTCTGCAGGGACAGTCCCCAGAGGGTGGGGGAAGCTGGGTCTCAAAGGTTCTGTGGGGTCCCAGGCACACATTGCCCAGGGAGTAACAGGTCTGGGTCTGGGGGGCAGTGGGCCCTGTGGTGGCCCCTGGCTCCCCACCAGCTCCCAGTGTCCAGCAGTGTCAGGGGCTCAGAGACCCTCACGATCACCCGGGAGGGTCAGGGGACCTCCTGCAGCAGAGAGCCCACCTGCAGGCCCTATAGGGTGTTCCTTTGGGCCAGGCAACAAATGTGGGCATGCTTTGAGCCCCAGGCCCTGATTCTTGCCTAACTGGTGACGTCTCCTTCAGGAGATGCTGGTGTGTGTGTGTGTGTGGGGGGGGGGTGACACTCATGGAGCCCTAGGCCGGGGGGCTGGCAGCCAGTCTCCCCCCAGGTCTGCTCTGGGGGCTGAGCCCAGTGCCTCGGGGGCTCCAGCCCATGACAAAGGCTGGGGCCAGGGTGGGCAGCATCGTGGTTAGGCTGGCAGAGCCCGGCGCACAGCAGGTGTGGCGGGCCGGCTCGTCCAGGCAGTAACCAGCCCAGGGGCCCACAGAGCCCCGACAGGGCCTGACACCCCTCCCTCTGTTCCTGGAGGAGCTGGGGTGGGCACAGGCCTTGCCTAGGGGCTCCGGGGAGGGAGCCTGAGGTCAGACTACCATGGGGGACAGGGATCCAGAGAGAACTCGGGGTTCCCACAGCACCAGCATCACGTGGACGTGGGTTCCAAGCCCAGATGGGTCATTAACCTGCAACCTCTTGAGCTCGGGCCCCGCATGTTCGAATGTAGGTGGTCAGCCTGGTGGGGGGACCCCGGCTCGGGGCAAATGGGAAACGCGGCGAGGAAGCCCAGGAAGATGCCCCTGCCTGCACCTGCATGTGCTGGGTTGGCCCTGGGCCCCCTTCTGCCCCCACCCCCAGGGCCTGAGTGAAAGGCTCATTCACAGCCCAGCCCACAGAGGGAGCCCCAGAGAACCTCCTCCCCAAGTGGGTGGGCGGTGCCCACGGCACACTGGAGCCCATGTCCCCGTGTGGCCAGCCAGCGCTGAGACATCAACAGCAGAGGAGCCCTCCTCCCAGCACACAGTGGCCCATCCCAGCACCAGAGGGAACACCCCCTTCCCTCGGTGCCTGTCTCCACCCCTTTGCACAGCAGCCCTGGGGTGGGAGAGGTGATGGGGGCAGGGCTGTCCTGGAGCCTGCTCAAAGTGCCCAGGTCCCAGCAGGAGACACACACCAGCCCCTTGCCACCCCCTCCCTAGGAGCGCTAGCTGCTGAGTCCAGAGGCCAGGCCTGCTGACCCGGAGCCACACCCTCCACCCACCACCCGGGCCTACGGGGGGCTCACTCACCTGAGCGCCCCGGCTGCTTAGCCATGGGGAGGGAGACCTCAGTGAGCGGCAGGACGTACACGTCGGGCCCGTTCGGAGCTGCCACCACCGGGGAGCCCTGCACCGAGAAGTCAGCCGCGTACTCTTCCCCCTCGGCATTCTCAAACTCCTGGGCGCAGGCGACAGGCTGTGAGCTCCAGGGCTCCCAAGATGGGAAGGGGCAGGGACGGGTGGAGCACCCACCTATCCTGCCGTGGGGTGGGGGGCTTGACCCCCTCCAGCCATCTCTTCGAGCCTCAGGGCAGAGACAGACCCCACTCCTAACACCGGCCCCCCCCCCCAGGGACACCTGCTGTCCCAGGAGAGCCAGGATTTGTTTTGTAGTGGGGGCCTTTTCCTCCCAAACTGCAGAGCCTCAAGGTGGGGGGGGGGGGCACAAGCCACAGGGCAGCAGCCCCTTGCCAGCCTCAGCCCACCCCCACCAACTCGTCCTGGCTCAGGTGGGGTAGGCAGTGCTGGCCCACACTGGCAGGGGGTGGGTGGGGCTGGAGGCAGGGGACCAGCAGCCCAGGCCGGCCACCCCTGCCCATCCAGAGCCAGCCCCCAGCGCCTCCCCACCCCACTCCCCCAGCAGCCCTGCCCACCCACCATGGGGCGGTTGCCTAGGGTCAGGGTTGGGGAGCAGGGACGGGGGCTCCATCACCCCACCCATCTTGCCCCAGAGGACAAGCAACTAAGTGCCCCGGCCTCCCGGACAAGGAACATTCCCAAGAGCAAAGGGAGCCCACCCCCATCCTCACCCCCAGGCCACACCAGCCACCTACCACAGCCATCTGCCAGCAGGCCGCCCTTGGACCTTGACCCCAGGCGGGCTGGCGTCCGCTCCCAGAACTCCTTAAGAGCCTGGCCCTGGGCAGCCTGGGGCTGGGCCCCACCTGGCTGGGCTGCTATTTTGAAATGCAGCTGTCACACCTGTGTGTCTGGGGAAGACCCCTCCCCCAGGGCCAGAGCACATTCCTGAGCCAAGAGCCAAAGTCCCAGCCTGAGGTAAGACAGCCACCTAAGGAAAAGGCAGGAGCAGGACTGCCGGCCTCTCTCAGCCTCACCTACTGTCTGCCCACAACGCCCTGCCCAGGTGGGGAAACTGAGGCCAGAGGGCTCGAGGGACTTCTGAGGAGCTGGAGCCCAGCTGCCCCCCAGGTCGCGCCCGTGTGGAGCAGCATCTGGATTGGGAGCCAGGAGGCCCTCCCTGGGCCTGGATTTTCTCAGCTGTAAGATGGAAGCATGTCCCTACAGGCCAGTCCCTCTTTGTGCCCAAAGAGGACACAGCCACTGGTGACTGCAGCGACGCCCCCTCTCCAGGGCCCGCACGACCAGCCAGGGGGCCTGGGGCCTGGGACCCCCTCTCAGCCCTGTGAGCCCAGCTGTGGCCCTGCAGAGGGCACAGATGCCCGTCTACCCCCATCAGGGCCTGGCCCTGGCCCCAGCCCATTACCTGACGGTGCCACCTGGAGGCCCGCCGGATTCTGCCGGCACAGCGGGTGATCAGGTACGACAGTGTGAGCATGGCTCCCCAGCCCCTTCCCCCAGCCCCGCTCCAGCCGGGGAGCCCAGCACTGGCCCCCAGAGCCCAGGCAGGAGCCCACTGTGCAGGCAGGCCCTCCCACGAGGCACACTGGCTCTGGAATGTTGCGGGCACCATGTTCCCCAGGAGGTGAGGGGGGCACGGGTGGGAGGGGCCGCTGCTGGCCCTTGTTTGGGGCCTTGTTCTCACAGCACTGTGAGGAGGGGCTGACTTATACAATGGCCAGAAAGTCCCACCCCTCGGCCCCTGTCTCCACCCCTGCCCCCCACGACCTCGCAGGATCCTCCAGGAAAATGCCAGCATTGCCTGCCCCACCCCAAGGGTCTGGGAGGATGGCCGAGCAGTCAACCGTGAGCTCCATACAGGCAGTGCCACATTCACTGTCCCCAACTGGCAGGTGACAGCTCCTCAGGCCCCTCTGTGATGTGAGACCAGAGGGCAAGAGGGGAGGGTGCTGTTTCTCTAAAATGAGGGCCACACAGCTGGGGTGCAGGCCACTTAGTATGGAGACCGATAGGGTGCCGAGCACAGTCACAGGACGGCCCCTCCTCTCCCGACTTCTCCAGGCCCAGGAATCCGACCTCCAGCCCAGGGGCGGGGCTGGCCTGCCCGCGTGGGTGGGTGAACAACCAGAGGCTAGGCTGCTATTTGCTAAGTCGGCAGGAACTGAGCCCACGCAGGCTGGGGTCGGGGGCGGCTCTGGTTGGGGTTCTCAGCTCCCAGCTTTTCTGCCTGGTCCCCCGACCCCACCGGCTCAGAGCTGCAGCTAGACGTGGGGGGCAGCCGTGGGGTTGGCAGGATGGAGGAAAGCACCCCAAGGGATGCCCCTCAGCCACCATCCTTAGTAGGGGGAGGCCTCAGCCCTAGAACCCAGCCCAGGACAACCGCGGGGAGGGTGCGCTGAGGGCCCGGTTGACGCTCCGTACATCACAGTGATTATGACCACTGTCCCCAGCCACCCCAGCTGCACGCGCCCATACGTGGTCCTCTCCTCGTGGGGCCCAAGATGCCCAAAGTCAGGTGATTCCAGCCGGGAGGTGGTTTTGGTGTCGGGGAAGTGTGTGTGGGCGGCTTTGGTTTCCCTTTGCCGACTCACATGAGCAGGGATCCGAGGACCCCCTGGGCATAGGGCCCCTCCTTCTCCACCAAGAATTTGGGCCTCTAGGAAGGCGAGCCCCCTCCCACGCTGGCTCAGGAGCCCCGGGAGGCCCCCTGAAAGGCCCAACCCATACCCAGCACACAGGCCTGACCCTGAGGTGGGATACGACGGCATGACCCAAAAGCGGAGAGGTAGAGGGCTGGGGTCCCTGAGAGCCCCCAGCTCTGCTGTCGGCAGCCCCAGAGGCGGGGCTGTAGGATCCGGGCCTGGGTCTGCATGGCCCCCAGATGGCCCCAGGAGACAGGGAAGCTCAGTGCTAAGTGGACACAAGAGGGCCTTGCCCTCAGGAGCCCGTCCACAGCCCCCACGGACCCCCAGCCCTCACCTTGAACCCGATGCCACCCTTCTTACAGCACAGGCAGGCCAGCATGAGGGCGATGACGGTGAAGAGCCCGGAGAAGGACACCGCCACCACAGCCAGCGAGGACGACCAGGAGAGCTCACTGAGTGGGGCGCCGTCTGCAGAGGGAGAGAGTGGTCACAGGGCAGCCTCCAAGCCTGGTCCCCCAGGTGCACTCAGGGGCCAACCGGACCCCCAGCCCTGCCTCGGGCTCCCTGGCCCACCCCGACTCGCCACAGTCTGGGACTCAGCATCCTCACCTTTGCTCAGAGACCCCATAAGCAGAGGCACAGGTGCCCAGCCCAGGGCAGGTGGACACTTTGGGCGGCCACAATGGCCTGAGCCTGCAGTCCCAAGGCCGGCCACTAGGTGCCACTCTGGTCTCACCCAGCAGACGGAGTTGGCAGAGTGGCCGGAGCCTGCCCAGCTCCCAATTCTGGGGGTTCACAGACACTCCTCCGAGAGGTCAGGGTCTCAGGGCTGCGGGGGACCCCCTCCGCATCTCTCTTAGACTCTGGTCACCCCACATCACCCCTCTGGAGCCTGCCCCAGGGGCTATCATTGCCAGAGCAATGGGGTTGGCACTGGTAAAGGCTGAGACCCCAAGGGGGCTGGGGGGGCACTCCGTCCCCACTAAGTGGGGGAGACTGTGGAGCTGGCTGCTGGCTACAGCCAGGCTCGGGGCAGCTGGGGGTCAGGACCATGAGAAATACAGCCTGTCTGGCCTCTGAGGCTTGGGGACCCCACTGTCCCCAAGAAGGTGGCACCGCATCAGCTGGGCAGCAGAGTTCCTCCATGTGGCCTGGCATTTCCAAGTGGCCCTCTTGCTGAATCAACCACCAAGGGCCCCCCTAGCGCTGTTTCTGTCCTGGGGACTGTGGGGACCTCCCTTCTGCAGCCCCTGGTCCATGAGGCCCCTCATGCTTAACCCTCACCAGATGGGGAAACTGAGGTGCCCAGGACAGCACAACATGGCCCCCAACACAGAAGCATGGCCCTCAAACAGGGCTCCGAGCTGCCCTCAGTCCCCAGCTGAGCCACGGCTCTGGGGACGCTTGGCCCATCTGGTGCCCGCAGGACGGCATGCCCCAGACTGAGGAGGGGCAGCGGGGCTGGCAACTCCACCCCCAGCCTGCCACTCCTGTCGCTCCAGACGGGATCCAACGCACGCCCCTTCCCCGAGGACCTTCTGTCTGTCAGTCCTCCACCCAGCCACTGGGGGTGTTCTGCCTGCCCCCAGTTCCTCTGCCCAATGAGCACCCCAACCTCTCACCTTCCAGCAGCTGAGCCCTCAGAGCCCGTAACCGACCAGCACACCTGCCACTGAGGGTCCCTGAGTTCAGACCAGAGGGAGTCTCAGCAGCACCTGCCTGGGTTCTTTTTTTTTCTCTGCTTTATCTCCTCAAACCTGCCCCCGTACACAGCTGTATATCTTAGTTGCAGGTCCTTCTAGTTGTGGGATGTGGGATGCCGCCTCAACGTGGCCTGACGAGCGGTGCCATGTCCGCGCCCAGGATCCGAACCCTGGGCTGCCACAGGGGAGCGCGCGAACTTAACCATTCGGCCATGGAACCGGCTCCACCTCCCTGGGTTCTAACTGGCCCCTGAGGTGGCTGCCATGCCTTCCCCACTGAACAGGAGGAAATGGGGGCTCAGCAAGGGTGTGGAGCCTGCCCTCAGCGGCACAGCTGACCGATTGATGTGCTTCCACTGAGGCCTTCTGTGCCCACATGGGAAGCCAGGGCTGCCTGCTAGCGGGGCACCTGGGAGGGCTGCCTGGTGGTGGTGTGAGCCCAAGGGCCTAGGAAGTCGCTGAGCGCAGCGTGGACTCCTGCTCAGGTCTTGGCGCCCGTTCCCCACACCCACAGAGCAAAGGCCCGGCAGGGCTGGGGGGC